TGAGCCTGGAGGAATCCCTGCCTGGGTCTCTTCCTGACATTCCCTCTCTGGCCTCAGCTGGAGAGCCTTCTGCTCTCCTTGGTTCAAGCTTTTCTGGTGTTGAAGAGCTACCGCATCCTACCTCTGATATGGCTGTATTCTTGTGGTAAGTGAAGTGATTACCAGTTTGGAATAGGAATTTTTGGGAGAGATGCTGTGTAAAATGCTGGACCACTAGCAAGCCCATCATCTCCCAGGAGATGTCAAGACAAAACAGCACTCCAATACAAAAGAATTAGGTATTATGCTTTTGTTATTGTTACAGTAGTGGTGTTGTCGTGTTTCCCTCTTGTCCAAGCACTAGGAGGTGCTGCTGGTAACGCTGGAAGAGTTTCCCCACATCTGCAACTGCTGCATCCTGAGCAGGGACCCCCGTGCGCTGTGCAGGCAGTCACCTCGTGCTGTGGGGTTATTAAATCCTGGTGGAGGACAGAGACAGAGCCAGGCACCCCAACAGGCGAGCAGTACCTCTGAACACCCTGCGCTGCTCATCCTCCCCTTCTTACGCAAGGCTTGATGCTTGGCGGAAGGCTGTTATTTTATTTGTTTTGTTGTGTTGTTGTGTGTTTTTTTTTTAAATACATATTTCGGACAAACAAACTAATAACTCCCACAAGTTGCCGTGATGTGTCTAACCACATCCGCGGCGCTGTGCTTCCAAACAGATGTTGCCAGGATTCAACTGAGTCGCCAGCAGCGTTAGCGAAAGCATGTTCAGATGCAAGGGCTGATAAGCAATCCCTCTGTCCTCGCTGCTGCCGCGCTGCAGCCAAGCCCCGTCCTCCTGCCAGAGCGGGACCTTTGGAGCACCCCAGCAGCGGTCACCTGCAAAGCTCTTCCCTGGGAGCCAAGCAGAGGCTTTGCAAGAGCGATCTGAGTGCCCTGGGAGGTTATCCAGTTCCACGTGGGGATCCTGCAATGTGGACCGGAATGCTAAAGCTGGGTTTACTTGCTCTGGACTGGACCCAGCTTGCAGTGAAGACAACAGGAGCGTTTCTGTTGGCTTCACTGACAGCTGGAGATGGCATTGCAGTGGTACGTTGCAGGGTCTGGTTCTGATTCTCTCCAATCTAACGGCAAAAACTTCCTTTGACTTCATCAGGAATAGGGTTGGGCTGCCCGTATTTTCCTTCGAGAAGCCGCCAGTCAGCTGGGCCTCAGCGCTGACGAACACTGTACAGCGACTAGGTAATAAAAGCCAGACCGAGCCTCCAGGAATACGTGGGGTTTCTCCAGTTCACTGTCGGGTTTGCCATGGGGAGAGCGGGCTGGCCCCCGAGCCCCCTCCTTGCGTGCGGGCAGCTGAGCAAACAACCAAAATTCGGCTCAGGGGTAGGAGAGAGGGAGATAGGGGAACCCCGATCCCTTCTCCCATGGCTACAGTTGCAATGGCAGGTCCAGGAATAAAGGAGTGTGTTTTGGAGGAAAATACCTCCCAGATCTGAATTGCTCCTCTGTGAGATGCTGCAAATGGTGGGTGATGTGGGTGGGAAGAGAAGGAAGCACAGTCTCCATCGAGGAAATCGCCAGCTTTTTAGGGATGAGTGCAATCCTGAAGGCACCTGGAACTGATGCTTTCCACCCTCTGAGCAAGCAGATGAGGAGCAGCAGTTCCTCCCCGCTGCCTCTCCCCAGCTCTGGAGGAACTGGCTCACGAGCAGGGTGTGCAGCTGCCACTCTTCTAGGTTTTAAGAGCAGAAATGGGGTGATTATTTTTGTTAGGACTATACTTAAGTCCCCAAAGCTCATTCCACAAAAGCTCCCAGGAATTGCTATCCAGTGCTGATGACTTCCAAGTGCTCGTCTGGATGAGAGCGGGCAATTTGGCAGTGAAGCCCGTGTTCCTCTGCTGAGCCACGTCCTATTTCATTTTCCTCCTTTGGAGTTGTACCCAGAGCCTCTTCTGTACGAGGGAACACCGTAGATCCCTTGCCAGCACGCTGAACTGGTCAGCTCGGCTGCAGTAACCCCTGATGTCCCTGGGAATCCAGTCTGCAAAGCAAGCCTTGTCCCCAAAGCGACTGGGGCTTCACCTGTTAGAAAGAGGGTTAAATGCAGACAGTTGTTTCCACCTTACCTATGAAGTCTGCTCTGCTCACACGTCTGCCACAAGTCACCAGGCTCCACAGCGAATCTGCTGCTGCTGAGTGCCCGGCTGCTCTGGAAGGGGAGCTGCACTACTCACACAGTTTTCTACCTCACTTTATTTGCAGACCTCTACGCTTTCCCCTGTGCAGCTCCATTTGGTGACTGCTGCTCCTGAAATGGCTTCATTCCGTCTGGGTTTCCTTCAGCAGAAAGGAGGAACCGTCCCTTTCATGCCAGCCCCTTTGGAGAACTCTTGAAACCACCACGTCCACCACCCTCAGCTACAGTGCCCTTTCCTGGGAGCGATGGGCGAAGGAGGCGGCGGGTGGTGCAGGATGTGTTGGACGAGCTCCAGCATTGTCTTGCTAAGGGGGCTGTGTTGTCAGGTGCACGCTGGAGGACAGCTCTCCTTGTCTAGCCCACCGTTCGCAGGCCAGCCGTGTCCTCTCCTGCCCCAAGGTGATGTATCTGGTGCAGCGTTGCTGGACAGAGCTCCATCTGTATTCTGGATGGGGCAACTAATGGAAACGCTTGGGTCTAAGCTCCTACAGCTGCGTCAGTCGAGGGTGTCCCTCAGCGTGGGGCAGTGCAGGGAGACCAGCGAGCACACAAGTCGGGTGCCCCCAGACCGAGTGCTCTCCTGCAGACGGAGATTCTTGCTCAGAGGTTTATTTTGCTCCTTACTTGCCCCCGCTTGCTCCTTGTCAAACACAGACCGTAACTGAGGAGGACCAAGGGAGATTGTTCTTCCTGCTTATTCATCCCGCTCCTTCCTGCTTGTTTGTACTTGAAGAGCACCGGAGCTCGTGCATGTGCCCGTGCATCATGTGCCCAGTGCTTCAACGCAGAGAGGGCGGGTGACACGGGGGGAGAAGCACAGAGCAGACAGTGTGGAACGGAGCCTCAAATGAGACGTTCCAAGAGTGGCACTCCAGCAGCTGGACCATGCTGCCCATCCAGCCTGGTCTTCTTCCAGGTGTTGGTGGAAACCTGTATGTGTGATTTGAACAATGATTTTCAGAAAGCCTTTCTAAAAGGCCACATCTCCAGACAAGCCTTAGCTACGTTTAGGCTAAGCCATAACCCTTGTTAAGGACACATCCAGACATGTGATGCTAGTGGTCTGTAATTCTCAGCTATAAAGCCAATAATTCAGGAAGGAAGGTTTGATATCCTATCACCAATCATGAGATAACTGATTCTGCTTTCTCTTCAGCTCTATGTTCATGTTCTCCCTTAAAGCATGGCTCCAAAACTTACTTCCTTATGGAGGATCACTGCTTCAGCTCTGGTGAAGAAGCTTTGCAGCCCAGAAGTGTCATTGCCATCTCCTTCTTTCTCTTCTAAATGTAGTTGAATAGTGATGTTATAAAAAAAAAAATATTACTATTATCCAGAAGTGAGCAGAGGCCCATGTTATCGCCTTGGAGCTTTCTGAGCTACCCAGTTTATCATGGCTTCATGGTTTTCCCTTATGAGGCTTGAAGTTGCCTGGAGCTGCTCTTCCGGAAAATAATGTCTCCAAGAACTGGCTCCATCTCTCATTTTCCATGTGTGCGTAGATCAGTGTGTCCCTAAATGTTGACACATCTCCTTCACAGCCTTGTTTTAATTTACCTTAGCAACTGCCCCCCTTTTTTCCCACTGAAAGGTGGGTTGGGTGGAATTTGCTCCTTCTTCCCATGACAGCTTCGATCCTGCGCGCAGAAGTGTTCCTGACAGCCAGACAGCAAGGAGAGGCTGTCCCTAGCCTGAAGGGCTTGGGGAGGCATGAATGAATACTGTGTTTACTTGCATTTCTAATTGACTAGTGCCTTGCCGGATCAGCTGCATGTCACTGCAAGCCGAGGACATTGAGACAACCCTCGTTCCTCTGCGTCTCCTTCTTGGGACTGCGAGGTTGTTGCTGGAGGCAACAGGCATCCAGCTCACGGTGTTGGGAGCCTCAGTTGGGCACGGGGTGGAGAAAGCTTCTGTAGGTGTATCACCAGGTTATGAAAGCTGGGCCTTCCTTATTGGATCAACGCAAGAGGAGGTAGAGTTTAAATAGAAGTGTACAGGACAAAGATGGGAGTCCCGGCTCCTTTGCTTGGGGTATCACCAGGTGCGATACTTTCCTTGTCCTTAGTGAGCGTTTGGACCAAGGCAGAACAAAGTAAGGCTCGCCGGGTTTATCTCCATGTGGTTAAGACCACCAGGAAGTTTCACAATGGCTTTCAAAGGCCTGAATATTGCCTGAAAGCAGAGTGTTGACAGTTTGGTTTCGGAAATGCCTCCGTCTGTTCCGCATGTGGTGAGATTGTTCTGGTACCCGCTTACCCGCTCTGCCAAGGGGCTTCATACCGTGACGTAGTCCCTTTGCCAGCCTCCTCCGGGTCCATCTCAGCGCCCTGGATAATGCGTCACCCAGAGGAGAAAGCTGAGGATGGCAGGGACCGGAGAGGGCTGGTGTTGGGGTGGGGGTGAGGGCACTCAGCTCTTTGACCTGGTCCCTTTGCAGAGGTTCCTCCTTGGCAGGGAAGATGTATTTGGGTGGTTTTGTTTCATTTTGAAGTGCAGAAAGTGAACATGGAAGTTACAAAAAAGAACACCGTGGTCAGTTCTGTCACTCTAGAAGTGCTTGCTAGAAACACTCATGCTTTCTACCCACTCCCGAGCAGTGACCTGCAAGCCCTGTTTTACTCCTCTCCTTGAGCTTTCTGGTTTCCTGCTCCCACCTGGCCTACACCTTCAGCAGCTGCGTTTGTCCTGGCTGCAGCAGAGTTTGGGTTTGGGAAGATGCATGTGCTGGGATTTATTTTATGTTGTTTGGTTTTTTCCCTCTCCCTCAACCAGAAACAACTGAGCTTGGGAACAAGAAGGAGCTGAAATCCATGCCCTTCATCACCTATCTGTCAGGCCTGCTGACGGCACAGATGCTGTCTGATGACCACCTCATCTCAGGTGTGGAGATTCACTGCGAGGAGAAAGGGCGCTGCCCATCCACTTGCCATTTGTGCCGGCGCCCAGGCAAGGAGCAGCTCAGCCCTACGCCAGTTCTGCTGGAGATCAACCGAGTGGTGCCTCTGTACGCTCTGATCCAGGACAATGACACCAGGGAGGTGAGTAAGCCGGAGATGGACCAGCTCCACCACTATGGTCCTGCCTTAGTTGCTTCTCAAGTCTGCCTTCCTCAGTCTCTGCATAAATGTTGGGTTCCCTGGAGCAGGGCAGTGTTCTCGTGTGCCTGTTTGGTGAGGAGTGCTTCAGAATGGTGTCAGTGATGGAGCTGGCAGGTCCTACAGCCCTCTCAGACCTGTGTCTCCCTGCCTTCAGGATGGTGAAGGCAATGCTATGAGCAGCCAGGGCCACGGCTGTTCATGGTGTCCACCCTCAGCAGACACCATGTGGTGTGCAGGATGGGTCCCGTGGAGGGGTCTTAGGAGCCAGGCATCAGGTCAGTCTTTCACTCCTGGCTCGGAGACCTCAGCTGTAGCTGTGTGAGGGGCGGCCAAAGCCCTGCAGGGCTCCAGCGTGGCTTTGCAAAGCCTGTGCAAAGGGAGGGAATAACCAGCCCCTCGGGACAGTCCCGCAGCCACAGGAGGTCACTGTTACTCCAGGAGGGACCAGCCAAGCTGGAGGTCACCCTTCCCTGGGGCTGGGCTCCCTCTGCCTCCTGCAAGAACTTCAGTGTTAATGCTATGGAGATTGATTTCCCACTTTCTCGGTTGGCTGCTGCCCCCTGCCCTTCTCCGCAGCCCTCTAACCCCAATCTCAAGTCCAAAAACGACAGACCTGCTTAAAGTCACTTATTAGCACTGAGCCTGCACTTGATTAAGATGCCTGGAGTGAGCCAGCGCGCAGCAGCTCTGAGTAGGATGCAGAGGGCTGTGGGTCGGGAAGCAATCCTAGCATATGGAGGTGTGACCACCAGGAATGATGCTTCACCCCCTTCCCAGATCCACGGGCATCTCCTGGCACTCAAGTCCTGTATGGGGACTGTCCCCCCTTGTCTACCTCTTGATCTTGTTCCTGCTTTCCTATCTATCAACTCTGCTGGTTCTTCCATGCAGCCATGCCTGACTTTCATACCTTCCTTCCTCTCTCCTTCCAGCTCTTTTCCTCAAACTTCCTTTGTCCTACTATTTTCTCATCCTGCATCCTTTCCCCACCCATGCCTGCTCTTCCCACTGGGCAATTCTTGCATAGACGTTGAGCTGCCTTTATCAGCTGGGATGAGGCATCACAGGTACAGGGAGAGCAGTGGGAAAGTTGGTTTCCTTCAGGCAAGAAAGAGGTGTTCCCCAGCAGTGGTCTGCAAGAAGACACTTCCTTTTGGGGTACGCGGGGGAGGTTAGCCAGCGGGGAAGGAGTAACGGCGAAAGCAAGCAGAGCCCAGCAGGATCTGGGGGATCTCCGTGGACCCTGCTGACCACCAGCTCCCCTTCCTAGCCATGCGGCAATGCCACCCTGCCTCTCTGGCTGCAAGGTCCCTTCCTCCTCCTCACCTGTCCCCCCCCAGCCCTGCCAGGCTCACTTGGGGCACCTCCTTGTCCTGGGGAGCTGAAGCCCGTGTTTCCCCAGCAGCGGCAGCCTGCCTCCCTCCCTCCGCTGGCTCTGGGGAGGGCCGGCCCCATCAGCTGCAGCTGGAGGACAGCCTGCATTGTGCTTTCTGCCGAGGCGCCGGGAAAACCACCAAGCAAACAAAAGCAACCCAACAAAAGAAGCCCCGGTCATCTTCCAGAGGGCTGCGTTCGATGCATCCCCCCCCTTCCTCCTCCTTCCACCTGCTCACCCAGAGGTGGGGGGCACCCCCAGGGAGCCTGTTTGTGCAAGGGTGCCTTCACCCCAGGGTGCTCTTGCTCAGCAGTGCTAGGGTTGGAGGTGGCAGGGTGGGGGATTCGGGTGGCTGCAGGATGGAGGGTGCTGCTGGAGCAGGTGCTAAGGGGACACCGGGAGCTGGCAGTGAGCTGCGCGTGCCAGGACGGGTCACCTTGCTCCATCCACAGTGGCAGGTCCTGGGGTGGGGG